CGCGCTGCTGAGGGGAGGCGTTGGTGGACGTTGCCTCCTCCGCTCGCTCTGTTGCCTTTCCATCGAGCCCCCACCGAGGGGAGGCACTCTGAGGAGGCAAGGCCATGGAGAGGTGAGGGAGGTGCCGCCGAGGGGAGGCGAGATGGATGCCACCTCCTCCCACTTGCTCAGCCATCGTCCCTTCAAACCGTGCCAATAGATGTGGGGATGTGGGGGAGAGATTGAGAAGGAGAGAGCCGGCTAGGTGGAGAGGAGGCTGCCTTGCCTGCTTGCCCTGCTAGGGAGACGGAGCTAGCCGCCGCTTGCAAACCGGACTTGGACGGGAGAGAGGAGATGGGAGAGGGAGATGGAGACTTGAGAGGGAGACAAGAGACAGGAGGATAAGAAGAGAGCGAAGAGACCGAGAAGATAAGGACGAGAGTGACCCTATTCAGTTCGGCTCCTTCCTAGAGTGTTGGTTGTTTAAAAAACCGATGCTTTTTATCTTGTATAAGGTGCCGGTTGTTATTAAAATCCATCTATGTCTGACAACACTTATTGGTGCTGCGTAATATTAAAAACCGATACCTATATCGTCACATAGGTGTCTGTTCTCCCAAACGGTGCTATATGAGCACACGTTCGGACGAGAAAAACATTATAGGTGGTGGTTTTATTTTTTCATAAGTTTAGTTAGACTTAAAAGAGTAAAAAAAAATCAAAACAAATTAAAATATGAAACAAAGGGAGTTTGCTGGGACTTTATAATTTGGGTAAAGTTCACCAGCTGTCTCTCAACTTTACGTCGAGTTTGTATAACATCCCTAATCCCCAATACTAGAAATCTTCACCCCTTAACTATAAAAAACCGTGCAATTTGGGTTCCATGGGATCTCTGGTTTCGCTGCGTGGCATCATAGTCCACAAAATAAAAATAAAAAAAATCATGGAGCCCACATGTAAGTGACTAAGAAAAAAAGTGTGGCCCCTCATTTCTTCTTTCTCTCTTTTTTTTTCTCTCCTCTCTTCTGTTTTCTTTTTTTTTTCTCTTCTCTTCAGCAATCCTAGGAGGGTGGCGGCGGCAGAGAGGGGAGAGACGATCGGCAAGCCCGGCCAAGCTCCACCGCTGCCTCTAGCGCCTCATGACGAGAGGAGGGAGCGGGGGAGAGGGGAGGCGGCTGGCGGGAGATTGGGGAGGGGAGAGGCACAATCACGGGGATGGCGAGGCAATGGGGGACGGGGGGCGCGGTGGGGTGACGGGGATGGCAAGGGGACAAGGGATGGGCACATGCCGGGCGGGCGTCACGACGGTGACCCAGTGCGATGGGGACGGCAAGGCGAGCGGCTTGGTGATGGGGAACAGGGCGCGGGGCAGGCGGGCGGGCATCGCAAACCGGCGGTCTCCGTGGGTGACGATATGCTGCTCGAGGTGGAGCGACGGTGTGACCTGGGGTCACCCATGTCACTGACTGCTTCCACCACCATTTCATGGCCACCGTCGCTGCTGTCCCCTGACGTACCCTATGAGATCTTGCGCGGCCGCATAGCCCATGGCTCGCTGCCGTCTTCATAGCCTGCACCGGTCGGACGCCTGCTGTTACGGCTCGATGGGGGAGACGACGACGCTGCCACCAAGGATGCACCGAGCGAGCGCTGACATGTGAACGTACGCGAAACCGGGGATAAATTGAGTCCATACTGCTTGGGACCTTTTTTTGCACGGTTTGAGATAGGTGAGGGGTAGAGATTTTTGGTATTACTGATTGGGACCTCAGGGACGACAGGTGAACTTATTAATTCTTTAAAATTTCTCGGGATCGACCACTGTTCCATCATTACTTTGTTGATCAGATCATATGGGTGTTACGTTTTGTTGGACCACATTTGTTGGCCCGACTATATTTCATGGCCCAATCTAGCTTCCCGGGCAAAATTTATCTGGGCTTTGCTGGCTCTGTTGATGGGCTATATATCTTGGCCTATATATTGATGAGGAATAAGTTCATCTGAGGTCCCTTAACTTGTCAACGAATCCGATTTTCGTCCTTCAACCAGAAAACCGGATACAACGAGTCCCTCGACTGTCAAAACCAGTGCAGATGAGGTCTCTCGGCGGTTTTGATGGCGGTTTTGGCTGACGTGGCGCCTACGTGGCTAATTTGACTTAGTCTTCATCTGATGTGGCATTGACGTGGCGTTTACGTGGCAATTTGATCCTGAAAATAATAAAACTCGTGGGACCCACATGTCAGTCTCTCACACAGAATAATAAAAAAATGGTGGGACCCACGTGGGCCCCACCTGTCATTGTCAATCCTCTTCTTCCTTCTCTCTCCCTATCTCCCCTCTTCATCTCTCCCCTCTGCTCCCTCCTCTCGTCGGCGGAGTCGCGGAGATAAAGGACGGCGTGGGGAGGCGCGGCCTCCTCTACTCCCGCCCCCTTGGGCCTACGCCGGCGGCTGCCGCCCCTCTCCTCGTCGCGCGCCGATGCGTCTTAGCAGCTCTTGCCTCTCTCCTCGCGATCTGTTCGCCGGCATGCTCATTGCATCACACCCACGAGCGCGGCCTGCGACGGGCGCTGCCGGCATGCTAGCTGCGAAGACGCCGTCCGTGGCGGTGGCAGCGGTTCAGAGAGATGGTGGATGGAGCTGTGGCAGGACTGGAACGCCTACAAGACCACCACCACCACTCGCCACTCGTTGTTCGCTCGCCCACCATGGCCATCGCGACGGCGCTCCGCAAGCTCTCGCCCACGTAGGCGCCACGTTAGCCAAAACCGCCATCAAAACCGCCGAGGGACCTTATCTGCACTGGTTTTGAAAGTTGAGGGACTCGTTGTATCTGGTTTTTCGGTTTTTCGGTTGAAGGACGAAAATCGGATTCGTTGACAAGTTAAGGGACCTCAGATAAACTTATTCCTATTGATGATCGTCACTGAAAGATGTACGTACACGAGACCGAGCGCTTGCTCGGGTGGCAAGCGTCGCTGGTGGGCACGCTGGGTTCGACCCTTGTGCTCGCCCGGGGGATTTTTCCCCTCTTTCCCCGGACTGACTTCGGTTGGTCCCGGCTAGATAATAAGGTATACATGTGCACGTTTTCCGTGCATTGAGGTCTAGTGCCTCCAATCTTATTCCTAACGTGTGTTAGGAACGCGTACGCATGTGTGTGCGTGTGTCGTGGTGTGAGTGCGGTGTGTGTAAGTGTGCGTACGCATAATAAATTATGGGATTAATTATGTTGGCTTATTAAACAGATGCAAATGCATGCGCGAGTTTTCTATTTTCTATAGAAACTCTTCATTAATTGTAGTACACGTACGTACTCCCTCCGTCATAAAAGAGCGAATGAGTTTAGACAGAGGTATGCCACATTTAGTATTAGATGAGTTTTTTTTAATAGGTGGAGGGAGTATATAAAGGCACTGCTACGTTTTAATAAAATAACATCATTGACTTTTAATTAACACAATGGTTGACTATTCATCATATTCAAATAATTTATATAAATATTATTTATTTTATTGTGATGTATTTTATCATTACATAAACTTTAAATATGATTTATACTATAGCACATTTATACTAATATTTTAATAAGACAAATGATCAAACTCTTTTTTTTAAGTTAAGGATGTCATTTATCAAAAAATTGAAGTATAATGTCATCGCGTAGTGACGCAACTTTCGTCTTCTTGTGGCAGGAAAAAGGGTTAATTAGATCCATGTCACTGTAACTTTGCTAAATTAAAAAAATACCATTACTATTTATCATATCTGCTACGTGTCATTAAAAATTTCTAAAATTTAAACCATACCACTCCAGTCACCTTTTCCATCCTCTTGCCTCACGCCGTCTCTATTCCGTCCTCATCCCCTAATCTCCATGACTATGCGCTGCTCAGCCGCCTCCGCAGCCCCACCAGGCGCGACTTCACCGCTACCGCCGGCAACGCGCGGCTCCGACGCCTCCACGGCCACGCGAGCCTAGTCCGCGAGCCTAGTGCCGGACCCACGCGTCCGCGCCTGCCGCCCTCCCCCTCGCTTCCGCGCGCGCATCTGACGACTCCTCCGCGAACCCCGCCAGGCCGGGCCACGACCGCGCCGCCCTGTCCTCCGCGACTGCGCCCCGCCAAGCACGACGCAGCCAAGCCAAGCTGGCATTGGCCATGCTGTGAGCATTGGCCATGCCGTGCAGGAGCACTGGGCCGAGCCAATCCGGCCACGCCAAGCCGCGGGAGCGCCTCGCCAACTCCGGCGCGTGGGCAGCAGCCAAACAAAAACAAGAAGAAAAATTAAAAAGAAGCAAACAACATCGCTGCGACGGCAAACAAGGAAGAGCCATAAGAAGAAGAAGAAGAAGAAGAAGAAGAAAGGAAAGCTGCGACGGCCATGCCCACGGAAGCCGCAACGACGACGCCGAGCTTGCCCACCGTGCAACGCCCGAACCTCCGAGCAGCTAGCCCTTTGGTCCGCGCCAGCCGCATGCTCGGCCACGCCGTCGACAGAGCTTCCATCTTGCTCCGTTCCTCCACAGAGCTTCCCTCGCCGCGACGACGCACGCCCGTTGCTCCGCGATGGCCGCATGCCCGGCCATGTTCTCAGCAGCACCTCCACCGCACCCTCGTCCTCCGCAGCGCTGCCCTCGCCGGGACGGCTGCATGCCCGTTGCTCTGCACGCGTCGAGGGGTGGAGGCCGGCCGCGCGCGGAAGCGGCGGAGCCGGCTGAGCAGCGCATAGCCGTCGAGATGGACGATTAGGGGGATGAGGACGGGAACAACACGGCGTGAGGCAGGAGAACGGAAATGGTAGCCGGAGTGGCATGGTTTTAATTTTATAAATTTTTAGTGGTATGAAGCAAATATGACGAATAGTGGTGGTATTTTTTTAATTTAGTAAAATTGCAGTGGCATGGATCCAATTAACCCCAGGAAAAAAAACCTGAGAAAAAAAAAGAGTGGTTATTGTACTTAATTTCTGCTCGAGCAGAGCTTACGCTTCTGCGGCATGTTTTCAGTCACATAAGTCGATGAAGAAAAATATTAATCTCCATAAAATTCAATGTTGGTTACTTAACTAGCTAGTATATATGTAACAAAAGAAAATCACTCTTGTCAATCAACTTTCATTAGTACGAAAATCTCAACACCACTTATTAGTAGCTAGCTAGGGTCGAGTCATTACACTTGGTAACTAGCTATATGTAATTCCAATTGCCCTTCTGAATAGGGCTAACACCGATCTAGCACTGGGAAATACTACAATCACAAACATTAACACAGAAGCACTACTCATGCACCCTAGACACATTTTCCATTTTGGGAAAGTGTCATCTAATAACCACCATATATATGTCCTACAACATTTTATGACATATATATATATGTTTCTTTTTCTCTCTTTAATATATAATAACTAATTAATTTGCCTTCAGTTGGGAGGCTAATTAACAATTAATGTTGGATAGATGGCTGCCGGACATGGCAGTTGGATGATGGATGTAGATCATGTCATGACCTGTACCTCCGGCCGCCGCAGCCGCCCTCCCTCTGGCAGTTGAAGTAGGCGGCGGCGACGGGGGAGCCGAGGCTGTAGCAGGCGGCGAAGTCCCTGGTGTTGAAGTTGGAGCGCCACCCCGGCGCGTAGATGGACTGCCGCACTGTCTGCCGGAACACGATGAACACCAACCGGTGGATCCCCGCTGTCGGCCGCGGGCTCTCGTACGCCACCACCTCCGTCCCTAAATATATATGCACATCCATTAATTTATATTACCTCCCTTTTTTAATATACCCGTTGGCTATTTTACAAACGTTTGATCATTCGTCATATTCAAATTTTAATATACCTCAGATGCTAGTATCTCGATCGAGGTACCTGAATTCTTAAGATGGCCGTAATATTTCTCTAAGTTTAAGCCTTTTGAGCTAGTTCGATTTTTTATGGTTGGATACTATTAGTTTACTCACCTTTACTCGTATCGCCTCCTTCTGGTACGTCAGTTACCAACCTATACAATCAACAACAATTAATTAACTCTCAGCCTAAGAATATAGTAATAACTTCTATAAATAAAGTTAGGGTAACCACAATGTGATATAAAACTATTCCTAGGTAGTAAGCAATAAAATAACTTTATTGCCCACCAACGAGCATTGTAGAAACTGACGAGGTAGGTGCACGTACAGGTAATGGTGACTAGGTAGGTGCACCTACAGGTGCCTAGAGATTGGTCTTTTTTTCACTTATGGGCTCTACCTTATATTCATCTGTTACATTCACACATTATGATATATGTACAGCTACGGCCCACTAATTTCTGGCCGCCTATTTTATTACCAACTTTGACAATTGCTGTTATAAAAAGAACTTATACAGTAGAAAAAAATAAATTATTTTAGAAATGTGCCACCAGTAGTCAAGTGAGCGGTTTGAGTGAAATGAGTGCGCGACTATGGATGACGATATATTCCTAATATTTTTTTGTGCTTGGCATGAGAAGAAAACATAGGTGACTCGCAGTATATATAGATGAAATGGAGAGAAGATAGCTAGCTCTATCTAGCTACTAGAGGATAGCATACTTACCAATGAAGGTATTCCCTTTTGGAAGGGTTGCTGGGGCTAGGTGCATCAGGGTCCACCATTACCTAAGTAACAAATCATGGTGTAAAAATTGTTAATAAATCCATGCTATGACTTTCTTTTCATAATTTTAGGAGCGACTTTTTAGACTTGTTTTTGATCAATTAAATGACACGTAAGAAAGGACCATATATATATGCATTGTAGTTGACAGTTGACTAGCAAAACTTTGTCTCCAGATGAAGGTTTGAAGATGTGTACCATCTATTTTTAGTTAAAACAAAGTTGAAAACTAACATCCCCTGCATTAAGAAAACATTATAGTAGCATATATGTATATACTCCCTCCATCCAAAAGTTTAAGACATTTTCCTTTTATCAGCAAAACTAAGGGAGAAATTAACTTATCTCCATATAATTAAAAAAAAATTATATGCATGACTGTTTGGTTTCGATCAACAATTTAATTATTCACACATATGGACGGTACAAATTTGTCATTTGGCATCTTTTGCAAAACAAGAGAAATAAAATATGCTCTAGACTTTTGGACAAATTAAGGAAGAGAGTGCATATATATATATGTTCAAATTTGACATGCCCGAAAATGCAGCTAGCTGTATGTGTTTGTGTAAACGACTCACGAGCGTGTAGAGCGCCCTCCCATCGCGGCCTCCGGTGATCTGGACGGCCGGCTCGCCGGCGACCTGCGACGGCCTGAGCTCCGACCCGCTCGTCATCTCGCGGTGGTTGTAGAACAGCCTCAGCAGCGCCGACGCGCCGAAGTGGTCCACCACGTCGCCGACGATGCTCCCCACCACCAGCGGGTCCCTCGACATGCTCATCGCCGCCGCCGCCGCTAGCTCTACACTCAATGCCACCGGCGATCGACGAGGAAGCTAGAGCTAGATATACTCAAGTTGTAGTAGTGCAATGTGATATGATGTTAATTGGTGGGGTTTGCAGTGAGTGTGTTGTGTTGGTGGAGAGGGTGATATGTACTCCTATTTATACCCAGGCCACACTGGCTTTCTTGGCTCATCCTATGTTGATTTTCCATGGAATAATGGAATATTTCTACATAGATATAGAGATAGATATAGTTAGCCAGCTAGCTATCTATCTATCTATCTTATATGGTTCAAAGATGCGAATGCATCCAATCATAATTTCAAAGATCCTGGTATGAACCAGAAATAAACCAAGCGAGAGATCATCTTGTGATATCATGGGACTTGATAATAATCACATTTGTTTAATTTATTTAAAGAGTCGATTTATGATCGGATCGGATGGACAATGTGTTGCCAACAAGGAGTCGGTTTCCGATCCAACGGTTTGGGTTTCGACGCGGCGTTGGAATATTAGGATGGATGATATATATGCGATTCCTGATGATCCTTGATGAGTTCTTGGGGAATCTACTTTTTGTAAAGATCATCTCAATCCTTTAGGCTTGGATAGCGGCTATTATAATAAGCTACTTCAATAAGTTGTCTGTTTCTTTCAGCTTACTCCCAATAATCTGGATTATAATAATTCCAAACTGAAAGAAATAGGGCCTAACGCATGTGTGTGTAACCATGCACTCATAACCAGGGGTTTGCAATTTCGAAACAGGAGTTTTTGCTGGTGGGGGCCGAAAGAATCGAAATCACCGAAATTTCAGTATTTTTTTGGCCGATATTTTTGGAAATTTGATGACTCTTGAATGAATTTGAATAAACTTCGACCAAATTCAAAAAAAAAACCAAAAATTTCGGACGAGATATGTGCTTGCCGGTGAGGAGCGAAATTACCGAAATTTTGAAAATTTTCCCGATTTCATTCCAAAATTGCAATCACTGCTCGTAACTCCACGTACTACTATATATACCAAATGAAATTCCATCATATAGAAAAACAGTTATTTTTGCAAGGAAATAGTGAAATTTCTATACATATAATACTTTGGTTCTGATCAAAATGGCAAGTTTGCCTGTTTTATATTAAGAACTGAAAAACTGACAATTTTAACCAACATATTTAATTAGCATATAGAAAAATTTAATGAAACATCGGTATATATATGGTTATTTTCATGCATAGATGCATGCACCCAATTAACAAAACCGAGGTGCAGTGCACCTGAAGAAAAAGGAGAAGAGTTAAAAGTGGTAAGATCTGATGTGCATTAAGGAGAAAGGATTGTGTATAGCTAGAGCGCACATGCATAGCAGATGTCTAACCTGGTGTGTGATGGAAAATTAACAACTTCAACAAAAGTTAAGATCTGTTGCCATGATCGATCACTAAGACATATACATACATATATGCCAAGAGGCCCTGCACATATGCAGCAGATAGCCAAGACTCTTACACCATCCTATACTGTAAAGTGTTGTGCTTTCCGGCCGCCTCTAGAAGATATGAGAATTTGTGCTCGTGACAAATATAATGTTGAGCTAGGTAGCCAAAGCAAACCAGGAATAATGGGCTCCAATGCTGTGCTTTCTCTTCTTTTCTTCAAAAGGAAAACTATGTTATGCATCATATCTTTTGATTCCTTGGCCCTAGCTACTTTTATTCTTGATCAGTTGTAATATGTATGATCTCCACTATTTTGGTACAATTTTTTTAATGACACAATGCAAAGGTGTGCTTAGCGCGTGTCAAACTCATATGTCCTATGATGTGACAGAAACATTATCAATGTTCTTTATCACTACCTCCATTTATAAAGACTTCATTTATGGCTATGAAGCTAAAAATGAAGTATTTTTGGATGACATAATATTAGTTACTTGGGAAATTAAAAGAATTTTTACAAGATAAATTAAAATCTTGGAACTTCCATGCATGGTAACAATACTTCATTTTTAGCCCTGTTACCGAGTTATTTAGGCACACGGTAGACTTCCGTTCCCTGGTAGTGCCTGCTGAAATTGTAAGTACTGCAGTTTTCTTGAAAAAATATTTGTAGTTATTCCAATGATCTATATTATATATTGGCGTAGCACAAAAATAATATATTATTGAACCTAATAAAGTTGTGCTTGAGCGAAAAGAAATTCTCTAAACTTTAATTTACTTATGGCTTGCGACAAGATATATTAGTTATTTTTATATGTAGTTAGAGTATTGTCATGATTATTCCGTAATTAAATAACACCTAGATTATTTGAATTTCAACTACATACTGTGCTTAACGTACGCAAGTTCTTGTTTATTATTTTGAGATTTAATTTCCGCTGCATATTATATCCGAAGCAATTTTGAATTTCAAGCTTTGATTTTAGGATCAATTTTAGGGGTGTTATTTTTGTCACTTTGCCCAGCTCTCTTTTCGTCATGCTAAAAACACAAGTAAAAATCTACCAACAATATTGCTAGCATTAAATTAAACTTTAAAATTTAAAACCTTTTTAGTTCAGAGCCACCTCTCGATGTGGTGGACTGGCAAGGTGTACATGCTTATCACTACTACCTCCATCCCAAAAATATAGTGACCTAGAATTGGATGTGACACAACCTCTATTTAAATACATTGTACTGGGATGTGTACGATGTGTCTCATCCAGTCCTAGTTTGCAATATTTTGGGATGAAGGGAGTAGCTAGCTAGCAGTCCCATTGTCTTTTAAGCTGTTACTAAAATTTGAATTTCAAGACTTAAATTTTGAGTTGATTTTGGATTTTTAATCATAGTTTATTTTTCACCATTCGCTTTTAAATTTCTAAGGACACATATATATTTTTTTAACATTTTTTTTGCCGATAAGCCATTATAGCTTATAATGAGCCATTTCCAGTTAGTTTTAGAAAAACAGAAGAGCTAGGTTTCCAGTCCTATTGTCTACTCACACTGTGCAAGCTAGGTAGATGTAGAGTGTGAACTTTGCAGGCTGTTGTAGAGTTATCAAATCTGTTAGTAATATGCCTTAGAGACAATCTTAGAGATAATTGTATCACGTACCATGTTTTATAAATTTACAATAAAGTGTTCCTGATAAGTTATTATTGATCAATGAATATGATTTATACATGAGATTATCTGTATATATATATGTTACAATTTCTAAATGATCCTTATCAAATGTGAAACAAATATGATTATAAGATTCAACTCATGTATTAATTGATGATCATGTTTACTAGACTATGGTATGGAGATACTAAATCGATAATGTGGACACGTGTTGGAGAATATATTGTTGGATAGACCCATTGACACACTGTCAGGATTATTATAATGTGATATCAGTTAGTCTTAATTAATTAGGTGTTGGTGTTGAATCCTTGCACCTAATATTATCATGGTTCCTAATTGTAATGGCTTACACTGGGACTGGTAAATGCTATTCCATAACTGCTTAGTTATAAAGGTAGTCTTCCAATTTGTTATTAAGCATGTAGTGGGATGTAAATAATCATGAAGGGATTTTTCCATCCCATATAATGGGAGAGATATCTTCTGAGTATCTCGATGTAATAGATTATGAAACTGTATAGCCATTTCGAGATGCCTGAAGTGCTGGTTAGGATTTGAATAATCTAATACAAGATCGAGTAATTGAGACGATGGCACAAATCTAGCTTTGAGCTTGATCAATACCATAAGGTAAAAGGTGTCATACCCATTTACGCACTAAAGGTTAAGTTGATATGATCTTTATGTTTACTCGGTGGGTCAATTCGTTTGGCTAAGGGTTATTGTTGACATGTGGACTGAAAATGGATTTTCAAATTGCAACCGAAAATACATGAACCTAAGGGGCTGTGCACTTAATGGGTTAAAACAAGACAACTGGATATAGAAATAATAGTGTCTTAATTCGGATAGAACTCATAATGGGCCTTGGGGACTGATTAAAGGTCCTATATGTTCAGGAGCGAGGGGCCACATAGGTAAGAGACACACATGCATGTAAACCCTAGCCACCACTCTTAATCACGGGAGTCAAAACCCTAGTTGCGTGCAGGTGCTACCACATCCACGCACGACGTTCCTCCCTAGACGTGTGGATACAAGTAGAGGCTTTGCTAATTGATGTTGGAATGCGAGGCGGCAAACACGCAAGGAGGAGACACTCGCACAAGAAGGAGATGATCGGGTTGCTAAGATTGACTACTTCCTCTTCACCGACGCATGCTACATATGATTGGTCTGCAATGCCTCTTGTTCTGCTGTTCAGCTCATCTAGTAGTAACAATCCATGATATGTTACTCGCATGGTTCTTGGTTTATATGGTACAAAATTTTTTTTTTACGTTATCATAGCATATACTCGTAACCTATATCATCCTTCTTGTTTGTATGATCTGGACATTATCTATATATGAAGTACAAAAACACATGCATGAGTACAAGTACTTGTGGATACTGGTGTGTGAGTGCGAATATAAGTGCCTACCTTATCTATATTACCAATATAAAGGTACAACCTACAACATCATAAAGCTCAACATGCAAAGATGTCACATCATTATCCATTAGTAATTATTGCATCTTAAACCTCATGCAAAACATGTTATATCTTCTATATTTTAAAGCTTTCAAATACAAGCATGTTACAAAGGGTTTCATGGAAATATTCTTCCTTGCCTTGTGGCACATCTGGAAGCAGAGAAATGGGCTCATTTTTCATAATATTATGCCTTCATTTCAATCCTGGAGATCCTTTTTATGAATGAAGTTCTTCTGTATATGTGCAGAATGAAGGAGCCTCTAAAGCAAATAGTTTTTGATTGGTTACAAACTCTGTATTATTTTGGTGATTTCCTTAATTATAACCATGTACATATTTTTTATTATTTAATGAAATTACACTACTAGGCAAAGTCCTGGTAGTATTCACAGTAAAAAAATATTATCCCATATAATTTACATAATATTTCAAGATATATCTCTTCATCATTTTATATAGTTCATCCCCATTTAGTTAATATTTTCTATCTTCTATCATTAAACCATATCATTTTAATT